AGTTTTAACTCACCATGTGACAACACTGCGTCACATCTCACAGTGAATGTTTTGTTGACATTACGGTCCAAGAATGTCTCAGGCACAGGTTCAGTAACATCTCAGTCACTGTGAGTTTTCAGTCCTGTGTAATGCTGGATTGCAAATTGCTGGCCACCACTTAGTGCCTGTGTGCTAATGAGAAAGCAGCTCTCATATAAGAAAACGAATAAGAAGTGTCAGAAAAATGCTGAGGTTCTGCATAAGCTGTTAATCAAGCCGAAATACAGGAACTCTTTAACAGCCACTACAGAATGCCTTCCAGCATGTTGGTAGTAAAATGTTAGTCAATCTACCCGAAGTACCCAAAGATGAAGTGATTTATTGAAGCCGTAACTTCTTTGTGATCTGTAATGAGTTCCACTTCTTTCCTGAGACATTCTTGGGCATCAGTGCAACTGGTCATTGCTTATAACTAACACTCACCATCACTGTCACTATTTTTTATCCTAGTTTGGGTTGTGTTACACAACCAGTAGGCACACCGACATCCAGTAGTTCCTTTACAAAATATTGAGCAAAGGTATCAGTTCTTACAGATTATTTGCACAGTACATTAAATGCATGCTGCATACTTAAAACATACTTTCTAAAATAAGTCAAACTATCTTAAAAGATAGAACAGATTTTACACTGGTGTCTTTGTCCTGTAAGTATGATAAAAATGTATCTGAATGTCTCTCTTCCTGGCTAGAGAGCAGCTTTCATCGGATGATGCTGGTCTAGTGAAATGCTACTTTCCCTACTACATCCTAAAGCTGATGTATGCATCATGTGAACACATATCCGTGTCTGATATAAAAACTTCTTCTCTGCAATGTTTGACCTGTGACATACGATAGGCATTTCACACATTGAGCTATCATTTGCTATTGCAGTCATTTGGGGGCAAGTTAAAGAGAAGCCCTTTTCAAGCATTCACCATGAATGAATTAAAGTGGACACAGGCACAATCCCTGCCCTTAATGTCCTCATCCCCACAGGAAACCTTTGCACATTGAGTGTGAAGTTCAGAACGAGACTTGCAAGTACATTCAGCTGAGCATGCTTAGAAATATCTGCATGATGAGAAGTCCTGCATTGTTCAGATTCCCTATCAAGTGGAGATTTCTAAGCATTTATTTGCCCACTCAATGTGGGAAAGTTGAGGTGATGTATGTGGGATGGAAACACTGAGTGAGCAAGCCTATGCACCTCCTAAATGCTGTCTTCCTCCCATGTTTCTCGGATGCCCAACTAGTCCTGAGCTTGTTGGCTGCAGCAAAATCCAGATGCTTTGAGCATATCAATTCTGAAGAAAGCCCCATCTGAGTTCAATGGGACCTACTCCCAGGCAACTGTATATAAGGTTGCAGCCTAAGTGATGACTAACTTCTGCCAGTTACTCAGCTACATGAGTAAAGAAAAAGCGCCTTGTATGTGTTATAACACTGTGACACCAGATGGCACTGTGGAGTTCCATCTTTCGCCAATGCGATTTCCCCCTTTGAAGTGTACAATGCGTTTTTCTGAAACAATTTTTTTGATGTGTCTAGATCCAGCCGATGTCCACCAAGCAGCCACAAGCGTGTGTGGACTTGCTTGCATTTTCTAGGACTGATATGGGAAGTCTCTACCAAACCGACATGCGCAGCTACCATGTGATATTAGAACAAAACACTTTTACATCTCTGATATTAGATATTTAAAATTTAAACTCTATTGATATGCTGAGATGTGCTCTGTCCATTGCCTGCACATATTCTCTTTGCCAGTAACACCATCTAAGTTAAATGGAAATTGTTAATTACTTGGCCTGCTTTTATTTGCTGTTTGTTCAGCAGTTTTAAAATTCAGATTTATTCCCCAAATTATTTTTCAAATTTAATATAGTTATGTGTGATCAGAAGTGGGCTTATTTTTCTTTGCTGCTATTTTCTAAATTCCTTATTTGCACAGCAGGTGTTCTGTGCTGTTATACTTTTTAATGTGGATTATCACCAGCATGAATTAGATGGATATGAAACTTTTCTCTCTGCTTGGGCTAAGGAAGCAGGTATGTGGGGTTGGGCTGGAAGTGGACATCTTCCTGGAATCTCTTGACAGAACTGCTGTACTCTGTGGCATCACACAAATGACACTAGTGTTCAAGAGAAGGAGGGAAAGGAATAGGTGGTTTTTGAATGTTCAACTTCAGACACTTTTGTTAATTTCAAATCATGAGGCAATCATAATGCCACTGTCCTTTTGCTTTTTGGCAAATGCAAGGGTCAAATTTTACATGACACTGAGCCACATGCATTGTTTACTAGAGTGGGAGATGTGTTTGTGTGTGGCATGAACCTTTCCCCCTCGAATAGTATTTTAAGCTTAAGGGGGGGAAATGACCCCCAGCTGCTTCTTCCACTGCCATGGGAAAAGCAACAGGGGATTGTTGATTTTTAGGGAAAGGCATTGAGTGCAACAGGGATAGAATCATGGAATGGTAGAGCTGGAAGGGACCCTAAGGGCCATCTAGTCCAACCCCCTACAATGCAGGAATCTCAACTAAAGCATCTATGACAATCTCTGCTTAAAAACCTCCAAGGAAAGAGAGTCCACATCCTCTTGAGGGAGACCACAACCTCCACAGAGGAAGCTTCTCCTCCCATGCAGAACTTCTACCACAGATTGAAGCATCAATGGCAGGTGAAAACAACAAATGACTGAGCATCTGTAATAGATTTGCTCTAAATCTTTGAGTAGTATTTCCAGCACAAACACTTTCCTTAGTAAAAGAAACAAAGAAAAAAATGAAATGGAACCTGTGCTGTGTAGGGGCTTTGTAATATTTTTCTTCCACCCTTTATTTCAGAAAATATCTCCGGAGTCCAGACTATTAAATATGCATCAAAAACGTTCCAATCCCCTCAACTAAAGGAGAGCATGCTCATTAGTGTTTTAACGGACCCTGCCCCTGCTCAATCGTAACTTCTGAATTCACTTGTGGCACATAGGAAGCAGCAAGGGGGCGGGGAAAGGAGGTTGTTAACAATATTCCATTCAAACTATGTGTTGTGTATGAAGAGCAAAACAGGCTGAGGATTTATCTGCTACTCTTCTAAGTGGAAAGAAATTATCGCCCATTCCAGGGGTACTAAACTGGTGCCTTTCAGATGTTGTGGACTCCAGCTCCCATCAGTTGCCAGCCAGCAGGGCCCAATGGTCAGGGATGATGGGAGTTATGGTCCACAGCAGCTGAAGGGCACCACATTGGCTATTCCTGAACTATTCCTTCCAGAGTGCCCTGTGGTTCTGCTGTCAAGAAAAAAATAAATCAAATAGTTATGAGATGGCCCATAAAAAATACTGGGAATGGTCCACAAAGTTGCTTTAGTTCAGGAGTGGGAAGGTTTTGGCATCCTTAACCACGAGCTGGTATCCAATGACACCTTGAGGAACCCAGTTTCCTTGCCACCCAGCTTGAGTTGCTGGTAAATTTAGGAAAGATTTTGAGTTGAGTCCACTGCTTGATTTTGTAACAGCAATCTCTTTGTTTTTTTAATATTGGGTATCACTGCTTTTAATTGACCTAGCGATGTGTGTGGCTTATTATTACGAAGTTGTCAATGTGTCTGTCAAATGATGATAACTGCTGGCTTCAAATCTAATTACTACTAGTGTCACTGGGAAAGGCATGCAGGGAGTAATAAACAGAAAGCCCTCCCCTTTCTATTGGTTCTCTATGTAGCTCTTAGGCCTTTTAATTATGGGGAAAAAACTAATTATGCTTATATCTACAGAATACAGTGCTATAATTCCTATGAGCAGCCTTTTATAATTGAAAAAGCACTTAGGCTCTTCGAAAAGCAAAGTGCCGTAACAAACGGTTTTTAACACTGAACTAGTGAAAGTGTCGGCTGAGGATTTGCTTCCCTCCCACAGCAGTTACAGATGTTTTCCAGTTAACATTTTGTTTTATTTAACAATACTGCATATCCTTAATAATCATGTGATCTTTAATTCTGTGTCTACAAATATAATAATAAAACAGAAAATCTTATTTTGATAAATGGGCATTGTCACCATCTGTATTAAAACTGCAAAGTTCTAAAAGGTTCCTTTTTTGCAGTTTACATACTGGAGAAATTTGCCTTTTGTAAAGAATATAATGTAATGTAATGTAATGTAATGTATTTTGGCACGCACTTTTTGTTCTGTATTTTAACATCATCATCATCATCATCATTATTGTTAGTGTATTTTAAAGCCTTATGTTGCATCTCAGTGAAGAAATTGTGCATAGTGATTTTTTAAAAAATAAAAACCCTGCACCATCCCATTTTGGGGTCTGTGTTTTAATCTCTAACAATGCATGTCTACTCAGAAGTAAGTCCAGTGGAATCCAGTAAGGCTTACTCCCAGGTAGGTGAGATTAAACACTTGCTTCCAAAGAATCCTCTGCATGGAGAGAGACTCCTGATTTTTCTTCTTCTTCCAACCACAGCCCCATGTTCTGCTTCAGATCAGGAGGCCACTAGTATTTAGGGGAAGGAGAGGCTAATTTGAAATAGAAGACCATAATAAAACTGCTTAGCTTTCCCCATTCAAATCCATCTCAGTGAGCATAAGCTCAAGAAAGAAAGAGCTAGGATTCTTGATCTTTCAGACTGCTTACCCTTGCCTTAGAGGAGGGTTCCTATTCTGGAGGTGTAATAGGAATAGATTACACAGCATCTAGCAGTCATTTGTCCCCTTTATGCAATTATGAGACTGGCCAAGACAGATGTGACCCTACCTTTTTTGACAACTGCGTTATGTGGTCTGTAAACCAGAAATCAAAGCCGTAAAGAAGAACAAAAACAAAACAAAAAATACAGAAGATCTTCCCCTTCTGAAAGTTAGCATCCCATTTTCCAATCAAAAGACATCCATTTACTCTCTACTCAATTAATTTTTGTGTGTGTTTTTTTTACAAAAAGCATTTACATCTGCAAAGTGTCCTAACACCTGAGGTGCTTCTTGCTTGACATGTCATTCCAAATCCTGTGCATTTCCTCAGGTGATATCTGATGCACTGTGATAACGCGCCGGTATCTACATAGGCTGTAGGCCATCTTCCAGTGATTAAAGCCACTGTTTTGAAAAGGGTGGATGCCCAGCTTCCGCAGGCAAAGTCCCACGTACACATCTTCAAGATGAAGAAGTCTTGTGTGGAGGGAGGTTTTGTAAATCATCTCTGCTACATCCGCTGAAAAGATGTAGCCAGTGCCGGAGCAAAATGGCGGGTAGTTACTGTCAGGGTACAAGTCCCTAGGCATGTACCACTTGCTACGGACATCTCTTATTGGGCCTCCGTTGATGACGTAGCCAGTGAAGTACCTCCGCCTCGGCTTGGTATTGGGTTTTAGCAATTTGTAAATGAGGTTGTCCATATTCACGAAGATGTCGCTGTCCGTTTTCATGATGTACTTGGCTTTCGAACAAAACGTCGCCACCCACCTCATTCCCATCAACGTCTTCAGAGTCAGGTTGTGATAGGAGTCGATGAAATCCTCCACGATGATGTCATGGAAGATTTGACTTTCCTGCTCCACCATCTGATTTAACACAGGGTCTGTGTTTTTCCCCAGGAGAAAGAGAGTGGAAATCTTAATACCTTTGAAGTTGTTCTCGTCTCCCCACGTCTCCCGAATGGCTTGCCTGGCATCAAATTCTTTGTGTGTGGTGCTGATGAGAATGACCAGGAAGGGGGCATTCTTTTCGCATTTCTCCGGCTCGTTTATGAGGAAATCAAATGAGTGAGGATTGATTGGCCGAGTCCTTATATTGCCGAAGGAGACATTCTTTCTAGCTATTGAGATGGTGCGGAAACTTTTGTGGACTGTGTAGGACGAAGTGGGTCGTGTTATACTTAAGTACCACAGAGCACTTGCCCAGCAAACGACCGTCAAGACATACAAACAGGAGACTTTTGAAGCCATTGTTCATGGAGCTCTCCTATTCAGCAGAACAAATGAATAGCCTTGCTACCTCTGGCATCTCCCACAAGGGCAGCATGTTACTTTCCAAGCCGTAAAGTTCGACGCAGAGAAGCAACTTGGAACGCATTCATGGAGCTTGGAGAAAAGGTTTAACGTCTTGAGGGGCGTTCCTTCTCCTGTGTAGTCCCCATTCCTTGTGGCAACGTGCTATTTCTGAAAAACATGAACAGAAAATGATTTTTTTTGGACAGGGGCTGGTTTATGTTGATGCTAGCAGCAAAACATTTGAAATGCTAAATGATACCGGTTGAAGGTGTTTTAAGGTTTTGTGCAGAGATAAATGAATGGTAACTATTATCAACAGGCTTGGTCAAGACTGTAAGGAAGCAAATAAAGCAAATCATTAACTTAACATGGCAAAGCAATGCAGTTCACTTGGGTACTTTGATATTTTCAATATCGCCTAGCAATTATGGTAGCCCATCTAAGATCTTCAGCAACAGGTCACAAATATCTATACTGATGTCTTTCTCTTACAACTAGTTTTGGCAACCCGCCCCATGCCGTAATTGGCTGACCTAACATTGATCTGAACCATATGAAAAGAACCCTTTATTGTAGGCTCATATAGCACAAAATATCAGCTGCCTTCTGAAGTTCAGGCAGCCCCTCACTTACCTAGGGGTTATGTTCCGAGGCATCGTACGCATTGGAAATTGCGTATAATTGAAACCCTTTGAAAAAGCCTGCAAGCACCCCACTCTGCCCGTTTAGTGATGTTTCAATGACGACTTTATGACATTTCCGGGTCACTTCTGGGTTCAGTGCAATGCACATGTAGTCATGCACATATTGTATGCACATAAATAGGGGGCTGCCTGTATTGCATATATTTATATTTGTCCTTTCCTCAGAGTTTAAGGTGACAAACACTAAAATAATCAACACTGAATAAATATAAAAAGAAACAACAAGAACATGGTTCAGCAGTCTGAGAACTGATGATACCCAGTTACAAGCAATGCCTGGTCAAAGTATTTGGTCTAGGTTCTCCCCAAAAAACTTGGTGCAAACTGTACAGATAAGGGCTTCAATAGCATTAAAATACAGAGACCACTAAGCAGGGCATATAAGGGAGGCTTCATCCTGCCTCCTCTCTAAGGACCTGCTTTAGGCTGGTCAAAAGCTTTCTTCCTTGGCAGCCTTTTGAGCAATAAATGGTTGCCCCCTGTTAATTGTTTCTTGCCAGTTGTTTTTGAAGGTTCATATTTTTGTATTTAACTTTGCTATACTTAAACCTTTGCTCTCTCTGCTGCTTTTGTACTTTATGGCTGCTTTACTCTATTGTGGTCAAAACCTGACCCTCAAACTCAGTTCCTGTTTTAACGTATGTGAGTTGCTGCCTTGCGTTCACTGAAGAATGGCGGGGTAAAAGTGTTTGAAATAAAGAAATGGAGTACCATTTGCTACATTTGATTCTGATGGTTCTGCTGTGGGGTACCTCAGGCCACTATTAAATGCTATTTAATATCTATATGAAGCTGCTAGAAAGAGCCAGTAGGAGATCTGGGGCAAGGTGCTATTTGTACACCGATGGTGTTTAGCTCTATTTCTCCATTATATCTGAGTGAGGAGAGGTTGTCTGGGCCCTGGACTAGTGCCTGGTTGGGATGGTTTGAGGGGAAATAAGCTTAGTTTGAATCCTGGCAAGATGGAAGCACCGTGGGGAGAGTGGTTTCTGTATCAAAAAATTGGACAATTGCCAGCCCTGAATGGGATTGGTACACAGTCTAATAGTGCTTCTGGACCCCCCCTTTTCTCAGTGGAGGTCCAGATAACCTCGGTGGCTAGAAGCCCCTTTTACTAGCTGAACCTGGTAGGAAGCTACAAGTGTTCCTAGACGGGGATTTCTCCAGTATCCCCCCCCTTCTTTTTTAATTTTCAAAATGCAATAAATGCAACTAAAAAATGCTGGTAATAAATTTCTGTGGTACTTCAAATCCCCTACAATTCAGATTTTATATATATATATATAATGTGGTTTGCTGCGTTTTTATTTGAGTTGTTAAAAAATGGAAAATTGTGGCTTATGCTTTCGTGCATGCAAATTAAACAAAAGGGACAATAAATATCTGCTTTTGTATAAAAAACCCCCTCATCTTTTTACACTGTGAAAAAGTTGTTGGTGCATTTTTTTATTATTATTATGACAGAAACGAGATCTCTCTGTTGTGAAATACTAGAGGCTAGGGAATTACTTTGGGGAACTTTTAAATAGTCTCAATGTTTAAAATTTCCCTTTATAGTAAATCAAGAGCCACTGTAATGAATGGGGAAATATGATTCCCAACCATATTTATCCTAGAACATAAGACTCTTCTTTATGGTTAATGCACTTACCGTTTAGCACAAGACATTTTGCTTTAAAGAGATTTGAAGGCCTTGCAGGAAACGTTCAAAAACATTCTGAACAGAAATAAATCTGATTATATAGGATGTTGTTGTTTTTTAAAAAACCCTTAGTTCTTTTTACTACTAAACATACTTGCATAAAAATAGGATCACTGGCACCAGAAAAGAGTTTGGGAATTCCTTAGGCTTGTAGAAAACTTTGGAAAATCCAAAGTTTGGATCACTTTTTGGCTTCTTTTTTTCAGTTTCCCCCTGAATACAAGTTATAGTATCTCCCACAGAATACAATGGAACCAGTTAATCACTGTTGCCTTATGTTAGACCCAAACCATATCTGATTCCACCTAACCTGGTTAATTAAGCTTCTGCTGAACTTTTTTTCACTGAACTCATGGAGGCTTAAAGGTGTTTTAACACCTCTACATTTCCACTCAGATCTCCCAGGGTCCTCCTCAGTTCAACTAGACATGCCAGGTGCTGAACCCATGGACCTTCTACTCTACCACTGAGTTTATAAGCCTTTGCATATATATTCAGGTTAGCACACTCCCCCCCCCAGATACCGTGCCGTACTTTCAGAGTGGATTTTTTTTTTGAAATTTCTTCCAGAGGCATCTAACTCTTGCACTTCTCCTCTCATTGCCTTTAAGAAATTGTTCTTCGAACTTCCTCGGATTCCGTGTTGCGCGATAGGTCGCCCGTGATTACATCGATCACATTCCGCTATGGTAGTAACGTGGAAATTGCATCCTGGAGAGATTATAAACTGATGCAAATAACACATTTCACCTTCAGTTGCCATAGCCACTGTGATTATCCCTCATCACGTATGTGCCATGCTCTCCTCCAAGCTTTCTCAGCGAGCCTCCTTCCCTCTATTAAATCAACTATAGTGTTTTTCGTTTGATGGAAACTTTACCACAGCAACAGACAGGGACCCCCACCCCCATACGAGCCCTCAGCACCTTTCTTTTTTGGGCAGGGATGTCTTTCAATGCTATTTAATGAATTCTTTATTATCTCTGCAATAATGCTACTGACAATAATTGCCACCGGAGCCTGTTAAATTATATTGTAGTAAGGAGCTGTTTCTCTGCTCCTTGTCTTAATCTTAAGCCTATTCTTTCTTGTAGTGTTCATAAAGATGCTTGTGGCGTGGCAGCCTGGGTTGTGACTTTCAGAAGGGGTGACAATGGCCTTGGTGATATAGAAGCCTCTTGGCGGAGCAGCGCAGCTTTCAATTAATCTGTGTCAGGATGAGAGGAGCTAATACTAATATGATGGCTCAAACATCTGAAAGCATACTTACGATGTCCGGGGTGTTAGCTCACTGAACTGAATAATGAATCGGCCTCCTATAACTCAACAAGTTATCATGACAAACAATTTAAAACTTTGGCATTTATTGGGCAAATTTCTAGGAGAGCTTTCGAGCTTACACGTCAGATTATCCACACAAAATTATCCAGGTATTTCTAGTGCCTTTCAATCCAAGTTCAGTTATCCACATTTCTTTTTTAAGTCATTAAGAAAATTCATTAGCATTTTAGCGCTAATTACCCGCGGTAATAATTTTGACAAATCCCAGCTTCCTTACTCTTGGCCATGCCATTTGTGCCATCTTATTAATTGTCGTCTTATTAAAATCACTCACTTTTGATCTTGCTTCACTTACTATTTATAGTGGCACACTAACTGTTTTGGAGTTGGTTTTTTATTTATTTTTTGCATGCTGCCATGTGATGTCATTATTCAGCAAGTAGTCCAGAATAGTGTTCTTAAAAAACAACAGCACAACCCTGCTTTTCCTTCTCTACCACAAAAAAAATCTGATACTTCGAGAAAGATCTGGAATGGCTCTGTGTGTGGCATTATTCTGGTTTTTGGTGAGGAGGGGATGGGGGTTGGTGGATGTGGTTTGGGGGGCGCCTGTTTCATGCCACTTCTATTCGACTGGTGTGAGTTGTCAGTTTGAGAGTTCAATTCCGAGGAGAGTGGTGGGAGTCAAAGTACTGCCCATGACATCAATTCTTTGGTGCAGACAAACTTTCATCAGAGCAACCAGGTTTGACGTACCTAAGGCAGACACATTTTCCTCTTTTAATCTCATATACTGCACACCCACATGATTAGAATTCCTGAATGCTAGGCATTAAATACGAAAAACAAACAAACCCCAATAAAATGGCTGTCCACAAGTGCAGACATAACTACAGCATTTACTGGCTGAAGGAACATGAGGGTATGTAAAGGGTGGGACTTCGGCTTTGAAACTTTTTCCAGCTTGGGCACAACTTGTCAATTGTGTGGAAAGTAAAACCCCACACTCGCTCTCTGATAACAAGGGCATGTGATCAAAGCTGCAGATACAATTTCACTCATCAAAACATCACAACAGACAGCAGTTATACAGCGGTACCTCGGGTTACAGACGCTTCAGGTTACAGACTCCGCTAACCCAGAAATAGTACCTCGGGTTAAGAACTTTGCTTCAGGATGAGAACAGAAATTGCATGGTGGCAGTGGAAGGCCCCATTAGCTAAAGTGGTACCTCAAGTTAAGAACAGTTTCAGGCTAAGAACGGACCT